GATCGATAGAGAGAGAGAGACAGAACGCTAGATCAATGGATAGATAGAAGATAGATAGATATAGATGATACATAGACAAAAATAGATTTGATAGACAGAGATAGATCATAGACATAATGCTAGATCGATGGATAGACAGAGACAGATAAGATAAATAGAAAGATAGACAGACAGAAATAGACTGATGGAAATAGAATGATAGACAGAACGCTAGATCAATGGACAGATAGATAGATACTCTTCACCTTCTTGTCGTAAGCAGCGTGTGCCGGGATGAAGTCTAGCGGCGGGGGTCGGTGTGTGTCGGTGCCGTAGGTCAGATTCGGGATGTCTCTGATCAGCTGGTTCTTCTCGCTGTGACTGATGTTCACCGACAGCAGCGGATCTTGTCCGGTACCGACCGCGGGCCGCCGGGGCAGAGCGTAACCGTTCTTAAAATCCAGAGTCTGAGATCTGTGGAAAGCGGATTTCTGTATCACAGCACACACAAATTATTTAAAATAATATAATATCATTATATTTAATAATCTGTCAAATTAATTGGTTAATTTCTCAGCAAAAATCTAAAATGTGCTTTAAAATTTCTGAAGAGTTAATAATGCAGATTTTTGTTACAAAAAGCATGTGGTAAAACAACTAAGTTAACATTAAATTCAAAAAGAAGATGAACGGGGCCTAAGTTACAGGTTAATGTTTCTCACCGTTAAATCCCGAAATGAGTTTCCTGGCAGGAAAGGAAGCCCGTGTCCTATATTTATAGACATTACAGTTTATTACCCTAATCTAGATTAAAATAATTTAAAGGTTTATGTAAATAAAACAAGTTACGTTGCTCTCTCATGGGACTGCTGTGCTTCCCCGAGGAGGTTTATTTATAGCGGTCTCCACGGAGACCACAAACACTGGCGGTTGTCATGGTGATGTAAACAATTCCTTTCACGTGTCTTGTGGATCAATTCACCAACAGGCGGCGCTACACGTTCAGTTTATTCAACGCAGTTTATTTAATGCTCCATAACAACCAAAACAAAACCTCCCACAGCTCCTGCTCTGTACACGAGCTGATACTCCTATAAAAACCATGCTGAAATATTACTGGAAAATTTAAGTTTGAGAGCGCTTACAACACAAACATCCTGCTGTTTCACAAACAAACATTCACATGCATACAAATGTCGAGTCACTTCATGTTTTGGCTTGCTTTGAAAAAAAAACAAACAAAAAAAAACTTAAATATTACATATTAAATGATCTCTGCGTGGGAATGGGCTCTTAAAAATAAAGGCTTCAGGTATACTTCCTGCAATAGTAATATTTTGTTTGGCATATATATATATATATACCATTAAAGTTGTTCTTTTTTAATGCTTAAATTACTAATATTACTTTTTATATAATATTAAATCTTTAAGCATATTAAATAATATGTTGGCTAATTTACTCAAACATTTAAAAATCACAATGCAATAAAATTTGAGTAAAGGTAAAATGTTAAAGGGGTCATATGATGCTTTTTTAAAGATCATTATTTTGTGTATTTGGTGTAACAGAATATGTTGACATGCTTTAATGTTCAAAAAACACATTATTTTTCAAATACTGTACATTATTGTAGGTCCTCTATGCCCCGCCTCTCTCAAACGCTTCGTTTTCTACAAAGCCCCCTCCTTAGACAGTAAATAATGTCATTAGTTTTACCATCAGTTCAAGCCTGAAAGGGGAACAGAGTCGCGTGACAGACACAGTGATGAAGCTGGTATGTGTTTGCAGTACACAAGCCACGGACAGCTGACTCCACTGTGATGTGACCCCCTCTCTCACGCGCGAGCGCTCTCTCTCTCTTTCTCACACACACGATGCGCAAAACTCCGCATTTGAACAGTCAATAGCAAATACTTAAACTAATAGCAAAACATACTTACAGTAGCTGATTCAGAAGTGCCAGATTGTCATAGCAAAGTCAGAATTACCTCCTCTCCTAGGTTCACGAAACGGTCGTCCATAAAATGCATTGCTGTTCTGTTGTAAGTGATCTTAAAGATTCCTAAATGCATCTACTTTCGGAAGGCCAAATAAAGTGCTTTTGCTTTCGCCTAGAAACACACAGCGTCTCCTTGACATGGCTGCTTCAACACTAACTGCTGTTCCTGAAACCACGCCTTCTTTCTTTGCTGAACATTTGGGCGGCTTTATGCTAATATTTCCACATAGTGAGGTAGATATGTGGGGCGTGTTAGAACGAGCCGTTTTAGGGGGACGTGGCAGAGTCTTAACTTTGATAAAGAATATCTCTTTGGTTTTGAGACTTTAGTCTTTGCAACTTCAGGGATCTTATCTATGCACAATCAGCTTGTAACACTCCAAAGAGAAAGGAAAACTTGAAATCGCATCATATGACCCCTTTAAGACTATTCACCTATAGAAACATCTTAATGTCCACTAAGAAGTTGTAAGTTCCTTTAGTTCCATCTTTTATTGGTGTTTTAAAGAACCTGGAAACCAAAACACGGATCTGAAGAACCTAAACATCAAAGACATTAATTAAAAAAAATATATATATTCATATAGCCAACTCAGGAACCTTATATAGCCATAAATAGTTCTTAATAAGAAGAAGCTCTTTGCTGAATCTCTTTGCAGCACCATTGAAAACCTTTATTTTTAAGAATGGAAAGTATGGTTTCGTATCATTAACATTGATTCTGAGCCATCATTATCATGTAACAGAAACTGAAACACATTAACCACAGTTGTAACGATCAGAAAGCGCTGCATAAAGACACTGAGTGATTAGCTGTGTTGGCAGATGTGTCTTGTGTTAAAGCATCATCATCCTATAAGAACCTCTTTGAGGTCACGGTTGCATCTATGCAGGAACATTTGAATCTCATTTGTCTCTCATCCCCTTAAAGAATATATGATTATACACAGAGCACTTTGATTGCATCCCTGAGCAATCAGGCAAGCTTTGCCACAGTATAAAAAAATATTTCATCCAAAAAAAAAATAGTGGTATCAAAAGCTATTTAAATATCAAAATAGATTTCATAAAGGCTGAGATGATTTTACAGCATGTCTATATATAGCTATATATATA